ATAAAGCTGAGGATATAAGTGGATGTTTAAGTTTGTTCCATGAACAAAAAATGGTATATAGAGCTCCACTGATCCCAATATGAATAAGCCAAATCTGATGGAAATCTTCAAAGAGGGATTTTTATGAGTAATGCAGTTCCATACATGTATATTTAAAGTCCCATTAAGTTCACTGGCCTTCCCAAGTAATTGTACATAGGATTGCTATCTAAAAGACTTGGGGGGGGGGATATTACTAGAACAGCTAAATATAGTAGCTTCATTTATAATATATCAATCGCAACTGGAATGCGATGATAATCATTTTTATTTTGAAGCTAGTTTGAAAGCAATTAGCTATTGGCTGAAATCCAGTACTAAGCTGCAACCTTTTTGGTGTTTAGTCGTTAAGTCGTGTCTGACTCTTCGTGACCCTATGGACCAGAGCACGCCATGCCCTCCTGCCTTCCACTGCCTCCCGGAGTTGGGTCAAATTCATGTTGGTTGCTTCAATGACACTGTCCACTGTCCGAAGCCTTTTGTTTCTGTTCATGGGGCTTTCTTGGCAAAGATACTGGAGTGGCTTGCCAAGTCTTGCTCCAGGTGGATTGCGTTTAGTCAGAACTCTCCACTATGGCTTGTCCATCTTGGGTGTCCCTGCATGGCATAGCCCATAGCTTCTCTGAATTACTCAAGCCCCTTCACCACGACAAGGCAGCAATCCGTGAAGGGGAAGCTGCAACTAGAGTAGGCCTATTGATTAGTGGGGGTTTGGTGAGTCAAATCTTCAATAGGTTCCATTGATTCAATGGGCTGAACTGTGATTTACTACTGGATATCAGCCACGAGTTCACAGATCACTGTACTAACTGCTGTAAGAATATTACATTTAAATCGTGCACTGACTCATTTCTGTTCTAAAATATACTGCCTTTTAAAACGTTTTTAAACTTCATTTCTTATATTCATTCAACAACTCAAATGCAAACATCTTTAACTGCAATGAAAAGCAAGAGTAGCATTCTGCTACTAAATATATTATAGTCATTTAACTTTATTAAAAAGTATACCAGCTTTAAAATTAAATCTCTATTATATATAATATATATGTAATATATATTTATATAA